TTTACGTATATCTTTCTCGAGCCACACATGCACAGCAAACCACAGCTTTGAAGTCTCATTCGTGCTTTGAACTGGTATGGGTGTGTAAGAGTTATAGCAACATAGCATTTATACGGACCCAGGGTAGCTACAATTCTGTTCCCAGGTATCGCGCGCATGAGGCTTCAAAGCTGTGGTTTTCAAGCCAAATTCAAGGTGGCCTGAGACCAGGGTTTGCTGCCCTAAAACACTCTGTTCAGGCCACCTTGAAAATGAAGGTCTGCGAAGCGAGAGCAAAGGACTTTCCACCTCCTCGCTTCCCAGTCTTCCCAGGGTTCATATAGGGAGCCAGGTTTTCAGAATCTTCTGGATTTGAGCTGTTCCAGTTCCTATTGAAGGGTATATGTTCTCGTTGGCGAGTGCGTCACCACCCGCTCCAAAAGCATCAAAGCATCACCTTCCAGAGTTTACGTATATCTTTCTCGAGCCACACACGCACAGCAAACCACAGCTATGAAGTCTCATTCGTGCTTTGAACTGGTATAGGCAAAGGTGTGTAAGAGGTATAGCAACATAGCATTCATACGGACCCACGGTAGCTACAATTCTGTTCCCAGGTATCGCGCGCATGAGGCTTCAAAGCTGTGGATTGCTGTGCGTGTGTAGAGGTTATCGAGCGGTTGACGGAAAGGGAACTTGAAGTACTATACCTGGTAGCTGCACTATAGCTACCCTGGGTCTCAAAACCTGGCAAGGTGCCAACTACACCTTTCCATTCAGATGATGCAAATGATGCAAATTGCATTTCTTGCATCACCACCCCTCAAAAATCACCTCCAACACAACCTCAAAAAACATTCCCTCGACGCACCCTCCTCCCCCAGCATGTGCCGAGTTTACGTGTACCTTTTGCGGGCCACCCCCCCCAGACCCCCTAACTACTCACTTCGTTCGCCAAACACAACTCCGCTGGCGCCTTCTACGAAGGCTGGCTTTCGTAAAATCAACAAAACTACTAGGACGTAAGTTTTCCAACATCCTAGTAGATTTAGGGCGCCAAGTTGTCCTCCAGAGGGGTGCCCAGGCCACCTGGTACCCTTCTCATAAGAGAAAATCACAAAACTTACAAATTCTATCAGATTTTCAGGCACCCTTCTCATCATGGCGATCATCCATCCATGGAAGCGATTTAACATTACCATGTCATTGAGGCTATACAAACAACATGAACATCATCATCAAGAATGTAAAGAGCAAATTGTCAGACGTCATGAAAAACACACAACAAGAGTAGCAAGGACACTTCAAGGCAGTAAGTGTTTCCTCAAATATGTTTCTTGGATCTTGGATGTCCTGTTTACAGTATCTTGTATAAACGTTGTTTGCATCGGGAACCCCTGCGTACAGGTTCAGGAACAAAAAGCTATTAAGTTAATAAGTCACAAAAAGGCATCAACAAATGTCTGGACAAAGAGAAAACAGAACTCAACATCTTGAGTTTTTGACATGCCTTGTGGGGGCACGCTCCAGATTGTGCACCTGTTTTGGCCCCAGGACACCCTGCCGAAAAACAATCAAAAGGGCGAGAAGATCTCCGCCACAAAACAAACATATTAGAAAAAAGAAAACAATCTAAAGTGGACTGTGGTTACATACATACATACATACATACATACATACACATACATACGGTTACATACGTCACTGTATATAAATCTAGGAACATATTTTGTTTATCATCCCCGTTGCTATTCGGTAGCAGTGAGGTCAGCACACCCGATGTTAGAACTTGGTCAACTGAGAGCCGTTTACTGTGTGATATCGCTTTTCCGAGCCACACATGAAACATCATGAAACACTAACCCAACAGACCTTTCAAAGTACAAGACCACCAAACCAATGCAAGAAAAGAAACATGTTTCGATTTGTCAGCCGCTTATCACGCATCATAGTTGTTTCTGTGGAGCCACTGGTCAATATAAATTGTTGGTTTGGGAAAGTTCTCTTGGCATGCTGTTTTAATAAAAACCTTTTTTTGAGGGGGGAAGACAGGGGGAACTTTGGTCCAATCCCTACCTGTTGCTAATGAGCCACACTCAGTCATAGCTTGGCAACTTCCCAAGCATCCCAAACTGATCAATAAACTCCTCAAACATGTCTAAGTTTATTGGTTTCTGCTGTTTGCAAATCTTATTCAAAAGTTATGTCGGAAATTTTGTTGCTGTTCAAAACCATCAGTAGTCACCTAGCGTACTCGTCGGACTGTTCTGAAACAAGGGTGTGAAAGAGGGGTGAACAAAAGTTTAAGCTTTGTGCCACGATGCGCAATGCAAAATAATTGACTGTATCAGACTTCTTGAGGGATTGGCATCTCAAGCAGTGGGTAGTGGTGGGTGGTTTCATTTTGAGGGGCTCTTTACGATACAACTTTTGAGGGGCTCACACTACTCACCAAACAAAAACACAAATCAGTACGACACAAAAAACAAATGCTCTGTCCACCAGAAGCCATCCAAAGGCGAGGCAAAAGCATAACATAAGCAGGACACAGCAAACACCAAAGCAAGCAAAAGCAAAAGCAAAATCGGAAACAAAGCAAATGCAACAGCCGCTAAAGCAAAAGCAAACGCAAAGGCAAAAGCAAAAGCAGCAGGAGCAAAAGCAGAAGCAGAAGCAAAAGCAGAAAAGTACTGGAAAAATAAACAACACCGTTCCAACCAAAAGTCTGGTTCCCCTATTTTGTCTCCCTAGCCACCTGCCTCACAGTAGTGCACAGTCACCATGTCTTTGCTCAGGCAGCACACGGCGCAGTACTCCGTTGATCCCGCCGTGCCCGACGTCGACTCAGACACGGCCCGCAGCCCCTGCAGATCGGCGTACTTTGCGCGGAGCGCTGCTTCAGCGGCTGGCGAGATGGAGGCGACGGACCAGGACATGGCGGAAATGGCAGGCGATTCGGATGACTAAAGCGGCGAAAACCAAATCTGAGCCGTGATTCATTTCGGATCTGGAATGTTCGAACCATGTTCTTCAAATGATTTCCATTGCTGGTCCCAGTGTCCCACATGCGTCGGTACCGCAGGCGGCACCGAGGTACGGTCCCCGTTCTCGGAGTGGACGAGAAGGGCCTGGGCTACCCTGCTGTGTTCCAAGGGCGGGCCCAGTGGCAAGTGACCTCAAAACGGCAGCGTAGACCATCAGCTCAAAGGCCCAAAAATGGGCGGACCCTGCATGAATCTGAAACGTAACGTAACGTATGTCGTCACTCTACGTCAAGTAGAGTCAAGTCATTTTCAAACTTGAGAGGAGGGAGACACGAAAGGTAGGACAGCGGGAAGAGAAGAGAACGCGAGAGGCAGGAACAAAAATGCAATGTTCGACATGGTGATTTATCCCCTCGGAGGCGACCTTTCGTAAATATATGTTCATATGCACTCTAAATGTTCAAACATATGCTCTCGAAATGTTCAAAAAGGTTCTGAGGAAAACAAACTTGCCCCATGGCTCAGATCATCGGTGAGCATTGAATCGGAACATCATAGGATTTGAACTATCCTGAAACCATAAGAGGCTCACGAAGACGCTCCCCAGGAGAGAATTGACGTGCTTCACAAAACAAATTCTAGGTATGTATCCCCTCGGGGAACACCTTTCGTGATTAGAATTTCATATTCACTCTTTCTAAATGTTCAAGAGGGTTTCAACTATCCTGAAATCATGAGAGGCTCACGAAGACGTTCTCCAGGAGAGAATTGATTTTAGAGGGGGGGAGGGGGGGGGGGTCTGAATTGAGCGATCAATTATTAGACCCGGACGTCCCAACACTTGCTTCGCAAGACAAACTCAAGGTATCCCCTAAAGGGCTACCTTTCGTGAAATGCATCATATTATTCATCCTTTTGTACATCCACTGGGCTAACTGGGCCAGCCTTTTGCATACTGAGCCACTGCTGAATGGCCAAGTGCTGAGGTCTGCACTGTCGCGCACACGTCCCGCAGACGGCGGTCTCGACCTCAGTCGGGAGCGGCCCTGGATTTCAGCTTGGTCGCCTCAAATCAGAGTTGGGAACCACAGAGTGCATCCACATGTTCGCTTCTGAACTGATTCACTTTGTTCTCACGTGAGGAACATGATATAGATTGATATAGTCTATTCATGAAAATCGAGGCTCACCGGGCTTTGCAATTTTTCCCTCTCCGGGGTCACCACTCCACAACCCTCGGGTTCCAGCGCTCTGGGACCAAAGTCAGGCTTGGGCCTCAGGTGGCACAAGTCCCGCAAGGAAACCTGGACTACTGCAGCGGAGGTCCAAAAGGTATGAGAGAGTGAAAGGCTACAAATTTGGCAGGCATTTGTCAGAGCACACCCTTCCCGGACTGTTGACGGAAAAAGCGGAAAAATGCGAGGCAGCTGGACATGGAGAACATGCCACTGCTTCTCCACCCTGAGAGGCTGTCAATAGTGCCAGTGCTTCCATGTGCTTCCCAGACTTGGAGGGTGGTGAAACGGATACATAATGACGTTTATAAACTGAATGCAGTATATATAAGTACGTATCCTGAGGTACTCTTCTCTATCCCTCCTTTTTGGGGGTCAAATCACCACTGTTAGTACTACTTGTTTGCAGGCCGACCCCTCGTTCCACCGCCGTCGGATTCCAACCAGAAGTCCCCGGCACTGGTGGGGAGGGGCGGCTGTTGATGCGCGGGCGACCCAGAACCTCGGAGGAGATTCTCCTGAATTTGGAGAAGGTATTGGTATATGAGTTGTGTATATATAAGTATCTTAAAACACTGACTGCATGCTGTGAAACTCTGACTTCTGTTGCAATTTTCACTTGAAGAATCATCCAAAGAGGAAGCAACTACATCTATGATCATCGATAATTCCTTTTATCGGACCCTTGTCCAGTCCCTAGAGATGTTCTTTCTATTTTCTGGTTGCATCTTTATGCATCTTTTGGATGCTCGGTGTCAAACTGCAAACAGAATCAGGAGGGCAATCTAGAATCACTCCCCTTGATTAAGGGGAGGGGCGCAGGCCAAGAAGATGTGACGGCACTGTGCACTCTACATTCTACATGCTGAGAGCATTGGACAGCTTCAACAAATGTGATTGATTAGCAACATGCCCAATAGCTGAAATCAACTGAAATTCACCTACAGCCAGCCATGGCAGTGGCCTCCCAGTGGTACTCCAAAGCGATCAGCAAGCCTCCACTGTTTACCCACTCCCGTCCAGCCAGGACGATGCAGGCTGACGCAGGCTTCAGCCCAAGCCGCTACTCTGAGTTGCTCAAAACATTGAACAAACGGCGGCAAGCCCTGGACACTTTCAGCTCCAACACATGCTCAGTATCAAAAGGACCTGGTTAAGCTACCGCTGGCTAGCCCAACCCTCCGTGAAGGCATACACCGCCCGGCTCTTCGTCGCGGTCATCTGCGCAGCTCACCTCTTCGCACAATGACAAGGGGGCATGAAGAAAGCAGGCCGGCCATTTACAAGGCGCCCTTGATGAAGCCCATCATACGTACTTGCTTTGTCCATTTAAGTGTCCATTTAATGTTCACTTCTTCTTCCTTGGATCTGGGCATGTGAAGTCTTCAGCAAGAATGCCTTTGACCAAAAAGGGGCGCTACAAGCTGCTACAAAAAGAAAAATCAAATGAACCCAACTCCTCCTCAACAATTTTGGCACAAACTTTTTGGGATAGCACACTTATTAGACCTGGAATGCCAACAACATCCGCTCACATCATGTGCCAAGCTTCCCACCCTTGTCATTGTACTCATCCCTCCGCACACAAGTCACTACCTTGCCCACCATCATCACAAAGTTGGATTCCAGAAACGCCACGCGTGACAGCTTGCTGCAAGGCGATGTATAGGTGTCACAGAAGAAAGGCCTCCAACAGGTGGTTGAGTTTGATTGGTAACACATGAAGTAATGTTGACTTCTGATCAAAATATTGACTGTAAAAATAATGCTATTTATATAAATGTGTTCAAACACAAATTGTAAATGGCCCCCAAATAATACTAACTTTTTCTGGACCATGCTTTTCAGCTGATTCCAGACCTTGATTCATCCAAACTGATTCTGAGCTTTTAGCTGGTTCCAAAACCTGATTCTTTTGGTGGTTTCCTTTATAGTTCCTTTAGGTTTCCTTTTGGTTGAAAAGTTTTTGCTTTATTGAAGGCAATCCTTTCTGGATTTCTGATTTGGCTGCTGCATTTTCCTTTTAAACTTGCTTATTTAGATTTCTGTGGGCATTGCTATTGGTAACCTGAAATCAACCCACAAAGACAACCCCCCACAAGCAGCCCAAACCTTCACCTCAAATAATACTAAAAAGTCCACTGGCTGGTTCTTTTGGTGGTTTCCTTTACAAGTCCTTTATATAGATGTCCTTTTGGTTCAAAGGCTTTAGCTTTATTGAGGGCTATGATTGTTTAGGTTCAGCCCCTTTACAATTCCTTCAGCACTACTTACATTGATTGCTTTCATGTCCTTTCCTTTCCTTTTATGTTCCTTTCATGTCGTTTCCTTTCATTGTCCTTTCAATGTCCTTTTCGTTGTCCTTTCAATTTCCTTTTAGTGTCCTTTCACTTCATTTCCGGTCCTTTCCTGTATATAATGGCATTTCATTTCCTGTTCTTTCCTTTCATTTCCAATTCAAAACAATTTCTTTTTCGGTATGTTTCTAGATTTCACATTATTTGGGGCCCGCATTTGATCAGATCAAGGCGGGGGTTATTATTCAGAGGTGGACATTATGCCAGATTTGCCTCAGATGTAATCTGATTTGATGAGCTGATTAGCTGATGATGGGTTTCCCAACACTGTTTCGTCAAAAAGGCACACATCGTGCTTCTCGCGCACACATCGTCAGTCAAAAGATCCGAACATCGACCCCCGCATCCGACCGCTCGATCGACCGAGCTCGGCCTCAGGGGCTGAAAGGTGCAAAGTGCCATGTCATGTGGTCGAAGTTCCTGGGGCTTTTCCACCTGAGGAACCGTCGGATACGTTCCACGGAACGAAAGTTCGTTCCGCTGCGACCACTCGGACCGTTCCACAGATCTCTGCGGCCTGGAACTGCGCGCCAGAAAAAACAGTTGTTCGGCCAAAAGCGGCCAGGTATGACATGTCCATCTGTCAAAGTATGTGTATATATGCTGATGTACTATGATGATCTATGATGTACTTTGGCTCTTGTACGGGAGAAGCACGTTTCAAGGAGTTGGAGTTATGACGTGATTGAACAAATTGAGCTCTGAAGATTGAATTGCGAACTCGCTACGGGCCGCTAGGTGGGGCACAGCGCTGGTTTCACTATGCTCGTCTTCACTCTCAGCTCATATTTCTGAGGGTGGAGCCCCGCCTTTTGGCCTCCCGTCTGCTTATTCATCTTCCAAAGGATCTCCACTAAACGACAAGGAGCACGACTGCACTTTCCACAAGCCAACGACACGTTGCCCAAGCGGATGGGCAGCGGGCCAGTTAAGCCCACCTGGGTTGGACTCGAGAAAGCGTTTAACCACAAGAAGCTGATTATGATTAGCTATCGATGCTTGTCATGTCTGTGGGTCCGACAGCGTCTGAGCAGGTCTGACCCACAAAAAGTATTCAGCCATGGCCACTTGCGCTTGAAAGAGCATAAGTGGAGCTGGCATCTCAGAGACTTTCATCACCACTTGGCCTCGTTCTGGACTGGGGAAGAAGGCATTCGAGACACAAAGACCCACCACATCACCCGCTTGGGCGCTCTCCAGCCATCTTCGATACATCTGAATGCCCAGCACGAGGCTTCCGGAACGTCCGAAGTCCCACTGGACGAGCCCCTGATGTCCCAGAAAGGCCACCCGATCACCTGGCCACGAAAACAACGCAATAGAACATGCAAAACGACACCGTCCTTGTGGTCTCTTTATAATTTATAATATTACAATATGTTGTACATACCTTTAATATTTTTTGCAGCCCGCCCTTGCTTAAGTAAGCGACTACTTAAGTAAGGGCTAAACAAGCTACTAGGTAACCTGCTACTAGCGAACGGACGCAGGATATCTCAGGCTCAGGCTTCTTCTCGTAACATGCGACCATCTGCGACCCCTCTCACTCTCTTTCTATGTAGATATACAGTGGATTGAGAGTAGATGGTACCCAATGTCGGTGGTTTATATGGATCCCCATCTGTCCAAGACATCTTGGGGTGTCAGTGCCATCAAACATCTGATGGCCCACTGTAAGATATATATATATATATAATATAAGTATTAATATTGCATGTGTCACAACCTGTATTCAAACGGATGGACCTCATGCTGGTGCAAAACAGGAAAAACCGTGGATCCTTTGCCCCACGCCTGGCTTCAGGGTGCCTTGATCGATACGTCCCACGACCACTTGGCCACAGCCAGGGAGGTACCAAGAGTTCGATACCATCATGTGCATGGGCAGCAAGTTCTCTGGCTCTGGAGGGTGAAAAAGATGATGCAAAACATCATAAAGACTGTGAACATCAACCTCCAGGGCCAAGCTGAGCTGAAGGGCTCTGACAGCGACAACCAATTATATATAGCTACGTGGGGTGACTGATTTTCGAAGGATGTTCTGGAGGTCCCTAATGGTCTCCATCACTGTTAAAGCAAAATGGAAGTGGAACATGCATTCGATGATCTGGATTTGGGTCAAAACAAAGATTGGGAACTGACTAGAGCATGTGGGAGGTCAAGTTACATGGTCCTACATGGTATTGGCTCCAGGTTTTGACCCATCCCCAGTGGTTTCGTTGCAGCCCTCGTCCAAACACCAAACATGTTTTCTCCCTCCGACAGGTCCAGAAGCTCCATAGACTTGCTGCCCAGTCCACCAAGCAAAGGTGTTGGTGTCTCTGATGATGTTCGTGGCATTCCTCGCGGACACGGGCAAAATGGCCACCTTATCTTCAATGAAGTCTCTTTTCCATCCAGTATTCAGCAACATCAGCTTGGTGCGTTCGAGGATCTCCTCACTGATTCAGTGCTTGGGAGAACAGTGAGGAACACAAAAAAGGCATAAACAACCTTGGTTCTAGCCATTCAACATCCTCTCCCTACATTCGTGACCAACCCCAAACCAAATCAGTGAAACTCGAAGGTAAAGTGAATAATGATGGTCATGGAAGCAACATGCAACATGTATGAACATGTATTGAACATGTTTGAACCATAATAAAATGTGAAATCTACAAGATCCATCCAGGATGCGAATCAAAATGCTGAACCATCTCTTTCATTCTAGACTATTCTAGAATCATGCGCAACACTGCCCAGGCTGCCTAATGTAGCTCTCCTGGAAACGCTTGGGTTGCTCCGGTACCGGAACCAGTTCCATCTTATTCACCAGGACGCACAACTGGGTCACCCCAAGCAGGTGAAGCAGTCTGCTGTGCTGACCTCATGAGGCTCAAGTTGCGCGCTGGGTCAAACGGTGCCCAGCCTGTTGGGCATTGAAAGGAAGAGTAGCAGCTGGTCTTCAGGATTTTTGCCAAGGACTTCAATAGGTGTAGTCTGGCTGCCTTTATTGATGGGATCTTGTGCGTGTTGATTGAGGGCGTTTCTCGAAATCACTGAAAAGGGAAGGCCGTGGCAACCCCACGAAGGCATGGTACTACAGAAAGGGGTCAAAGGCAGTCTTCCAGCATGTCTTCAGTGTGGGAAGCCAGCATGTCTTCGAAGCAAGCTTAGGTTTTATACGTGTAGTTCGACTGAAACATACTGAAACAAATGCTAAAGTTGATCCTACATCGAAAGACTCGGGCAAATTTAGCCGAGGCGCGCGATCCACCCTCCGGCTGCCCACCATAGCCATTGGCCTTGCAGATCGACCAAGGGAACCTCGGCAAAAGTCAAGAGGGAACTTGGCACGTCAACTTCGAAGCCATAAGTAAGCCATCGACCAGTAAAAAACAAGCAATCGACCTTGTTCTGCAGTTGAGGGCTGACTCCACCGGCTTTTCTGATTCACCGTGAAGGTGACAAACCATTTGGCCCCGACCACCCGCCCCCACAATCCGAATCGGGAGCAGTCACGAGGAGGAGAAGAAGGTCCTTTCCGAATCGCACGGAGGGAGGGCAAGCTGCCAAAGGCATGAGCCAGCAAGAGCAAAATATGTGTACAATGAGGGAACAAAGTGGGAAAAGTAAATCATCTGGCAATTGTAGAACAATAGAATGAAGGATTGGCAAGATTCACGCAAAGGGATATGAGCAAAGGAGCCATTCAGGAGACAAATTGGAGGCTGACTTCATCGGTCGACATCGGGTCGACGTCCGATGTATACCCGTTCGCCACTGACTGGCTGATGGCAGGTCGGAACAGAACCTCCGAAGGGAAAGGACCCCCTGCTGAATCGCAAGGCTGAAGAAACTGTACTAACAAACGAACTGCAACGAAACACTGCAGTCCTCAAACGCCTGAGACATGTCATGTTCCAAATGGTGGGATATCCATGGATTATGTATCCTACTGATTATCCTCTATCTGATTTCTTCATCTGATTTCTTCATATTTTTTCCATCTTGAACTACTTTCGCTCCCCCACTATCACACCGTTTCATTGCTAGCTCAGTGGCATCTCATCGGCCGGCACCAGTAGCACCGCACCATCGGCCTGCGCCAATCCCGCGACGGCGTTCCGCAGGAAGCGACGGCGGCCCGGGAGGTCGACCAGCCTCGGAAGGCCAAGCCGAGACGTGAGATATGACATGGCGAGACGTGAAACGAAACGATCTGCTTTGAGGAACATATATCATAATACAATTCATACAAAAATAGTAAATTACTTTACTTCGAGTGATCCCCACCTGGCATCTACCTGGCATACTGTCTGGCATACTATCTGGCATTTTGTCTGGCATACTATCTGTCATTCTATCTGGCATATCTTCTGGCATTCTATCTGGCATTTTATCTGGCATTCTATCTGGCACTCTATCTGGCATATTTTCTGGCATTCTATCTGGCAATGTGTCTAGCAATCTATCTGACACTCTTCTTGCAGCATTCTATCTGGCAATCTACCTGGCATTCTATCTGGCATTTTATCTGGCAAACTATCTGGTTGAGGTCCAGCGGTGCACACTGCGATCGGATCCTTCCGGTTGAGGTCCAGCGGTGCACACTGCGATCGGATCCTTGCGGTTGAGGCAGATTGGCGAAGAAGATTGGCGAAGGAGGAAGGAAGGAGGAGGAAGAACAACTGTGATAAAATCTAACAACCCTCACCTGGCAGGTGGGGAAAAAATATCATCTCATCCCATCCGCAAAAGGAAAGTAGTACTATGTTTGACTTACTATACAAGTTATAGTACAGTTCTTAATGTATTCTTGCAGTGGGGAGGTTTTCGCAATTCTAAAGGCTGTGCACTTGAGGCAAATGTCGATTGTTTTCTTGACCGGGGGAAATCGAATCACCCAAAACATGTCCGTAAACACTCCATCTGCGGAATATTTACAGTACATGCACGTACGCGTCCCAAATGGAGTGTCTGCAGGTCTCGAGCTCCGTAGCCGCGTCACGTGTAGCCGCTATTGTCCACGGTGGCGGCCCACTGCTTTTGCTTGAATACCTGGTACACCGGCAGTGCAACCCTGTCACCCACCCATGCATCCACAAAGCATCGCAGAATATTGGGGAAGGAGTCGAGCTGGACCAAGGGAGGGAGCTAACTGTGTCACTATACTTATTGGACTTGAATTGCTACTAGGCTACAGCCATCTGCTCTGCAATCTTTCACGGGTGCTATGGCTGCCATGGCTACCACCAACCCCCCACGACACCACGACATTGCCCAGCTGCTACGGTGCAATGGATCTCGCGCTCTTCCTGCAGCACATCCAGCACTGAAGCGGGGTTGCTCGCGAAGGCCTCGCGGAAGCCGCGTTCCGTGCGCCTCGTCGGGTCGTTGGCCAAGAGTTGTGCGGCAGTGGTGGTCTTGCCCGAGCCCTCATGGCCACAAAGCGCCACTGAGAGGTGTGGCTTATCCATGTCATGGCTGAGCCAGGTAGATTGGCAATTAGCAAAAGTGGTGGCTTCGGAAATGTGAGGCCATCGTTCTGGAAGCTTCCTTAATTACCGCATTTTTCTGCAATTTCATCAATAGCCTTGACGACAAAACGGCACTCAAACGATGGATAAATTGCCAGCTCCATTGAGCTCTCATAGTGTGATGGCCCTTGCTGGCCATCCTCATTATGTCAGCCGATCCGTGGGACATTTGGCACCACCGGTTTTGGTGTGTGTGTGTGTGTGTCGAGGTGCTTTGAGCTGGCAAGGAAACATGTGGACTCGACCGAAATATCCTATGAATCTCTGAAGCTACGACCGCCCATGGTACATCCTGGCCCTAACTATTATCTAAAGCTACTATCCCGGAGATTGCAAACACCTAGCCAGCACGATGCCCTGCACGAGCAATAGGTTCCAAGTGCCAGGCCCTGGGAGGTTCAGTGGGTGGTCCATAGCCAGCCGACTTCACCTGCAAAAATGGTGTAATGTCTGCAATGTAGAGCTGGAGACGGTTCCATATTCAAAAGTAGGTGGAAAGACCAAAAGAGCATGTTTGAGAAGAAGTGCGCGTCGAAGTACATATGAAAACTTCTTGGACTCAAAATCCCAAACACAGGCATACACACAGTGACATACAGTGACGTATAAAAATTACATGATGTCTTGAGTCATTACATTCTCCAGTACCAAGAAACCTCCAGCCGAGTTCCTCTGTGCTTTTCTTGCCGGACATGTTGTCCCAGGGGCATCTTTGACCCCGAGGGAACCACCGTCGTGACTTCTTCTGAGCTGCGCAAGAGGTGTCAGGTTTGTAAAGGAAAGTGGTCTTGCAAGGGACCATGTTCCACTTCCATGTTAGTGAGTCAACATGCTATTTCGTGGCTGAGGGGCGGAGCGTGCTTCCGCGCATGTGTGTAATGAGTTCACCGCTGGGAACATCGACCAGCTTTGCAGTTTTCTTCGAGGGCGCTGCGGGCGTCCCAAAGAAAGCTGAAAACGGATAATGTTGGACGGAATGTCTCTGAGTGTGTGCGAACTAAAGTGCGCAAAAAGAAACACCACATGCATCCACATGCCATGAAAATGCCATGTGCCTTCGGTGCCTTCGTTCCTTGTGACTAACTAACTTGGTCATCGTTGGGTGTGATGACATCATTGGGCTCTGTTCTTTCCACTTCGCTTCACTTGGTCATCGTTGGGTGTGATGACATGGCAGCTCTCATGGGTGAGACGGCGACTTGAAGAGCTCTCCTCGCTTGTACTTGATAATGTACCTGAGCACATGCGGGTAACGAGCAATTCTTTCGGACCACGAACAACTCCATGGGTTTGGCTGAGGCAGCATCCAGGTATATATTGGAGGTGTCCAGCTGATCTATCCAAGGACCATATAAATCAGCCAGGCCAGGCTTCAGAAACAGTGGTGCACAGACCACAGGCAAGGGCTGCAGGGGTCAGAACGTTCTCATAATCTATCGTGAGATGCCCAAAAAAGAACATAAAATTGAAATTGTTCAACAAACAGTGAACCCTTACAAGAACCACCACCCTAAGCTCAAAATCCATCAAACTCCACCACCTGAAAAGATTGAGAATCTCAAATTCAGGTTGGCTGGAGACCTGCTCTCTCCGGAAAGGACCATGAGTCAAATTGAGGATCGAACACTCACAAAACCTCTGAAAAGGAACTGCTTTCCCTTTCACAAAAGAATTAGCATGGATTAGCTGTTGTGAATCAACCCGCTTCTGTGTGGCATTGAATGGCGCGAAAACACAACACGCGAGGTGGAAAAAGCATCAATTGCACAGCGCTAATGTGAGCGCTTAACTTGTCTGTTACAGTGGAGAGCTCTTCCATACTCCTAGATGAGATCAGCCCCGTCACCTATGTCAAATTAAAATCATGGAAGTACGGCCGCACTCCATCGTTGTAGTTTCACTGGGGCGCGTCGGCTGTTCGATTTTGACTGCCGAACGCACATCTTGCGACGCAGCCTTACGCTGTGCACTGTGCTTGGGCTCCGCGCTCCGGATACACTAGCTCCGTGTCGAACCTTCCAGAACCGGCTTCGAGAAAGTGAGGGTATAAAATACGACGCTGCCCAGGATTCCAAGCTCACGAAACCGGGAACAGGTGGTTTGCCCGGTAGTTCTCAACCCACATCCCGACGCAAACAGGTAGTGGACATCCGAAGCTTACAGACTTGAGATGTAGAACTCCCTCGACACATCCCTATATGTTGGATCCATTCGTTTTGGATGTTTTGGATACTGAGGACCTTCGTAAGTCCACCATCGTTCAAACGATGCGCTTCATGCACTTCTTTCGCCGGGTCCACAAGGTGCTTCGCAGCTCGCCCACCAGGTCCACTCCAGTAGTCCAGGCTCCCCGGCACGATGAACTCCCGATAGGTGCCGGAGATCTTGATCCGGTCGCCCAGGATACAGTCGGACTCCCTGGGAAGAGGCCATGACGAGGCCCTGGCCCCTTCAGTGACCGAACCGAACATCGGCTCGGAGAGAACGGGCTGAAGGGGCTAAGAAGTCAGCAGGAAGGTGCAAATGACCAGTACTAGTAGCGTCGTGTTACGAGTAGTAAGGCCAGGAGCCACTAGTAGCGTCCTTGCTCCTAGTAGCGATGCCCTTTGCGACTAGTAGCTTCTTGTTGATCAAATATGATCAATGCAACTGGCATCCTGGCCAAGCAAGTTAGCAAATTGAGCTGGACCGTGCGCCAGGCCCTTGAGTGCATTCTCGTGTGAGGGCATCAGGATCAGGAGTCCTACCCAGACAGCAATTGTAGCTGGTATGATCAATGTGGAAAAATAAAGGACTGGTCTCTAGAAAATGTGTTCGATTCCGTTGCCTGCGAAGCGTGTTTGCCAATATATTTCTCAAAGGTTGCAATATTGGCTGGGTCATTCTTCTGTATACATCAGTTTCAATAGCCCTGGGAGCGGAGTTCTGTTCCATAGAGTCATCCACATCCAGAAAAAACCTAGTAAAACCTGGTCCTGAACCTCTTTGAGTAGTGTTCTTGCATGATCAACTTCAGTCAATTGAAGTCTTTGACGCTCTATAGGGAATCATAGGGAATCTATATATTCGCTCCTTTCGCGGCGCCGAGCAGCGCTGCTCGGCGACACTCCTGTCAGCGGTGTATTTGACGCGCCCTCCAAGAACTCGACCTCAACTGGCCGAACTCTTGACCGATCGACCTTCCCTGATTGAGATTGGGATCAGCTTTTAGATGCATGTCACGTCGAGTTAGATAATGCAATCGAAGTCAGGGTGTGGGAGATCCGCCATGGGTGGTCTTGTTTTTGTTTTGTGTCTGTGTGTTGTCTTTTATTTTATCTACATGTGCATGATCTGTACATGTCACACATTTTGCGTCCAATTTCGGATTTGCACTCGGCCCCCGCGCAAAGAAGTACCGTGTAGAGGCCGTCTTCTTCCTTGGAGTACTCATCCGCCTGCAGTGAACATTGCTACAACCCTCCATCCCCAACAAAGATCGAAGTGACATGCTCCAAGTTGGGGACGTAGTCTCTAAATTAAAGGGCCTGTTGACACTTCCGCTTCAACCACAATTGAAGACGGTCTACATACACCGTATCGCTGCATCGCATGTACGCCTGACTCCGCGATTTCCAAAACCCGGTGTGGTCACCATGTTTACCAGGTCCAGGTCCAAGTCGACACCGGTCAAGTAGTCTGATGGCAAGTTTGCCTCTAAAACATCTGCAGCCAACCCGACGAAATTCGAAGGGTATGATGGAAAATGCGTGGTTACTGTGGCATGCATGCAATATTTAAAAAAAAAACACACACAGATATATATATATACCTAAAGGTATATATAATATACATATATTTGCTCTATAGTCACATCACATGTACCGTGTTTTTCCAAACATGAAAGTCGAGGCTCGCAGCCCCTCCCTTCGACCTCTCGCGGCGCCTTTGTGACCGACTCTGCAAAGTAGGATCCCCGACCTGGGCGCGCCCGGCGTGGGCGCTGCGCTGCCCGGACGGTTGGGCGATGGGGCCGAAGCACCGGTGGGAGCCTCAGCCTTTCTTCGAAACAATGACGACCAGATGGGCCCAAATGACGGCCTTACTAGGCCATGGGTTTATTCAGAATGAGGTGCCCAGAATGATGAGGTTGCTCAGTATTGGCGCCAATGAGCACCAACCACCTTTTTCTCCCGCTTCCTCATCGACAATTCCATGCAAAGCTGTGCACACTTGCATCCCTAGAAAAAATGGGGAAAATTGATGAAACCCATCTGTTGGGTTCCTCCCGTGGGTCTCGGATTGGGGATTCGACACTTCGGACAGCAAGATGACGGCCAAGCTGCCATAAAGTGTTCCAGTAGCACTGCCTGCCAGTCTCATCTTGAAGTCAGACCTGGGGCAATCGGATGATCCCCGAACAAATCATCCACGATAGCTAGTGCCCAGCGGGGACTTTGGGCCATCCGGCTGAACATCAAAGATCATTGGCCTGTCTGATGCCTAGGCTGTCTAACGTGCAAAAGCTGCACAACCTAGCTGCACGCGAAATGGACCGAAAACAACTGCACCAACCAGCAACCTGCATTCCTAGAGTAGGGGACAATGGCTTAGCCAGGGTACGTCACAGTTCTTCCCTACTCATCCGCATGGCTCAACAACAAGTCAGGGACAAAGGGACACAGCGTATCTCTAGATCTTTTTGTGGACCAATGGCAAACCACTTGCTTTGGTCCCATCGTTCAACCTGCATCTTCCACCATGGGCGTTCGGACTGGCAAATGTTCAGCGCAGCAGAGGAACTGGTCCCGTGCCAAAGGTACCACCTCAGATCCGCGCCAAAAAGGGGGTGCCAGTCGGGAGACAAGTACAAGGTTGCCAAGGGTGTACATTCTAACCAATCACGAATTAAACGTACATGTCTCACACCTGTACGGCCTGCTGGTATTCACAAAGAGAACAACCATGGAATCCCATCGAACTGTACACGCATGGACCTGTTCACACAAAGAAC